AAATTCTTCTCCACTTAAATGTTCAAAGTGTATTTTATTTGACACCAAAAATTAATATAAAATTAATTTTAAATCAAATAAAATACCCATATCATTTTTAAACAAGTATAAAATATACTTCAAATAGTTTATGTCAAAATAATTATTTTCATAATTAAAATGACAAAACAAAACAAAATATTCAATATACAATATATATATATGTGTGTGTGTGTGTGTGTGTGTGTCTATATATATATATATATATATATATATATATATATATATATATATATATATATATATATTAATCGGCACATATATATAATACATATATAACCGAATATTTATATATATATAATATTATATTCCAAAATATTTTATTTTACTATTTTACAAATATACAAATTACTTATTATCCCATTGTTTAAGCCTACTCCTTAAATTGTCCAAAGTGTATGACCTTTATAGGCACTTATAAAACTGGCCGCATTATTGGCTCTGCACCAATACTATAAGCAATAAGCGGTATCTAGCAACACATTATTGCCCCCAGATTATAAGTTAAGACATTTGCATCGTCAAAACCTTTCCACGACTCAGACTCCGTGTAACTATATCCCTTTGTCTCAATGTCTAGACTTAATGCAAGGGATTAATAAAATCCAGCTTGTATCCATTAAGTCATTCACTGATTTATCAAGTCTGACTAATATGAACAGACGTCATAAAAACATCTCAGCATGGCCATGCAATATCCTCAGTCATAACTTATCAGTGGGACCCATAAGACATTATTATCTTTAAAAAGAGTAGTGACAAATCCTACGTACGTAATCTATGTTTCTGAATACGCGCTACGGCATACCCAAAACAAAGCCTGTATACCATCCTTATTTCATATGGCTTAGGACAATGCATCAAAGTATGCGGGTTCACATATGCAGAAAACATAATACTTCAAGTCGAAGGATAGTTACACCCGTGGTCGCGCTAAAGATGCTTAGAGCATGAACTAAAAGTTCAAGCAACATCTTTAGGATGGGTCAGTCCGGCATCCTATTATCTTCAGATAATATCTGCCCATGTGCGGATGCAAACACACTGTCATTGACTATGAGACTAAGTCAAACATCCAACACACACTAGTCTCACATGCATTAACGATATCCCACTCTCGTTAACACACACTAGTCTCACATTCATTAACGATGAGACTATTAACGATTAACTATTAACTATGGACATTCAGATAAATATTTATTTCAAGATATTAGTCTCATCAGCAGAAAAACACTATCTGATAAACATCTTTAAATATAAATCTAGGAATATAGTATTTGTTTACATTAGCATGAGATGTGTAAACATATTATATCTGCCTATACATGATAG